TGTCTTCTGTGAATACAGTTTTATTTTTCTTTCCAATCTGAATATTTTTTATTTACAGTTTTTGCCTTATTACACTAGATAAAACTTTCAGTAAAATGTTGGGTAGATTTGATAAGTGTGGTGCTGTAGATCGGATGCCCCTCCAGCCTCACTGAGGCTTTAATCCACACTGTAACTGTTGAGGGTGAGAAATCCTACTATGGTAATTGAAAGGTGGGGCCCTGAAGAAGTGATTAGATTGTAAGACCATGCTGTAGTGAATGGATTAAAAATGGTAGTCAGGGGCATGGTTCTGAGGGCTTCAAAAGGAGAGTGCATGAGAAGCTATTTCTCTTCCTCTATCTGCTTCTACCATCTTGCAATGTGAGACCCTTGGGTCACTGTTGTCACCAACAGATGTGTTTCCTGGACTTTTAATTTCCCAGCCTCCAAAACTGTAAGCAATAAATTTTGATTTTTAATAAATTACCCAGTTCCATGTATTTTGTTATAAGTAACAGAAATGGACTAATACAACATCCTTGCCTTATTCCTGATCTTAGGAGGGATGCCAGATATTGGGAATTTTATCTGGTTGGTTTAATATTTTTGTATACCTACAAATATTCTTGAGATTTGTTCTAGGACTGTTACTTGGAAACAGTCTGATTGCTTCAGATCTTATTTTAAAGATTTGCTAGGGAGTATTTGAGCAGTGTTCATTCTAAAATAATTATTTCCCACTACTGAGGCAAGACCCTTTTTAGTACTTCATCCAATGTCCATGAACAGGTGGCTGCGGGGAGCAGGTACAGTTGCCTGTCTGTGAGCGCCAGGCACTTTTCCTTTTATTCCTACTTAATGACTTTTTTCTCTAGATTTGAATAGACTTCTTACACATTAAGCTAACCAATATTCTCTCTTATACTTACAGGGTCCCATCTGCTAATCGCGGCCTTCACTCTGCATATGTCTCTCCTCTGCATTACTTTATTCTGTGCACTGTAGCCACCTTGTTCTCCCTGAACTCCCAGTTCTGTCTTCTCAACTGGGGAAGTCTTCTGAGCTCTGCCTGGATTTGCCTACCTATGCCACAGCCTGGAAACTCTGTCCAGATAGCAAGTTGGGGCAATTTCAGTGCTCATCTCTCTTTAGTTCCTGACTCTTGGGGTTCACTGCCCTTTGTTTCTTGATGCCTAGTGTCTTGAAAATCACCCTTTCATATCTTTTGCCCACTGTTTGTTTGTTTCAGGTGGAAAGACAAATCTGATCTCTATTATTACATCTTGGCTGGAAGCAGAAGCTGCCCTTCCTGTATTCCAATATACTATACTTTAACATACCAAAAAGCAATAAGATTATGTTATGAATACATAATTGATCACATATATACAAAACAAGTTGTTTATACTTTCTTTTTTTTTTTTATAATTTATGTCCTGACAACTCTCACTTCATTTAATGTATATGGACACATATAATTTTGCCCAAGTTCAAACAAATATATAAATTATAATAAAACATGAATTTTTAATTGTATCTAATGGCTTCCCATTCTTCTTATAATATTTGTGAAAGTCCAAATAAATATAATGCTGTGCTTATTTTTATATTACTAAGATAATATTTATACCTTACAACTAAACAGTAATTTATACTTACAGTTGAATCCACACTTTCAAATCCTTATGCAAAATACAAGCAAGGTTAATACCGAGTACCTCTAGGAAATATATGGTTAAATAAGTTAATATCCAAACATGGACTTTTTAAACAGGAGGATTAAAAGACGAAGCTAATCAAATATTGGTATACTTGTATAGTATAGATTAAAAGAAGAGAAACACATAAAGGATGATCCCTGTAAAGAAAAAGAAGGAAAAAAGAAGAGAAAGAAAAGGAAGGCAAGGAGACCTAAGAGAAAATTAAAGAAGAGTAATGCTTAAATCCATTAGTGACAATGGTCCAGTGTGGCTGAAACCAACCTGTATAGGACTGTGAATTCAGATTAGGACTTGAATTTTATGCTTAGTTCATTCAACACATCTTTGTTGAGTATTTACTATATTCCAGTTATTGTTTAATGTTTACGACAGCAAACCATGACCATGGCCTGCTTTTGTACAGCCAATGATCTTAGAATAGTTTTTACATTTTTATAAAAAGACCATTTGGACAGCAAAGCCTAAAATAGTTACAATTTTATCATTAAAGAAAAAGCTTGCTAAATCCTGATTTAATATATTGGGGATAGAACAGTCTAAAAGGAAAAAAAAGAGAGAGAGAATATCTTATGGAGCTGATATTTTAGTGGGATGGATACAGATAAATAATAAAATGGTACATAGAAAATTCAAGCAGGGAAGGGGATTCAACTGCTAGAACAGGGGCATAGATTACCCCATGGCCCTTGCAGCAAAATGGGGATGATAGTCTTGGATGAGGAATGATGTGGCATCTGCACTTCTTGAGGTGATAAAAGGCACAAAGAGTTGGTGTCAAGCAGAGGCAGTCATTGTGAACATGATTGTGATGGTGAGGGTAGGGAGCAGGGTGGTTTCTCGTCAGAAGCCCAGGGTTCTAGGGCTCTTCTCTCCTGCCAGTGGTGAGGAAGGGACTAGGGAAGAAGGTGTTATTGAGAACCCCAGCACTTCTGGCTCCCTTTGCATACGTAGTGGTCTTTGTAGCAGGAGAGTTGCATGTCATCACTGGGCTTTGAGAAGGTTTATGTGAAGGTGGTGGTGACAGTAAACTGGAGGAAGAAGGCCCTAGAGTGGGGGCCTTGGAGTGACAAAATTTCTAACAGTAGACGTTCTTAATGCTGGCAATGTATCAGAAGAGACCACTGACATTCAAGCACAACAGTCTAGATGTTAAACAAATCTGTGACAAAATTATTGCTGTTGTAGGCACCAAACTATAAGAAACACCATACTGAGTCCAATCAGTGTTCAATGATATTGTATTAATTAAAATGTTTGTTGAGCACCTACTATGCACCCAATGCTGTTTTAGGAACTGAAAATACAGTGATGGGCAAGAAAACATAAACAAAACCCATCTGTCGTGACATTTACATTTGAATGCTGTAGGTAATTTCAAATTTTTACAAGTGCTGTTTGTAAGCAGGAAAGAACTACTGAAATACAGTGGGCAGGGAGGGCACTCTCACCACATGCCTTTTATGCTGGCTGTGGAAAGATGAAAGGAGGCTGGCCATTCCACAAGTGAGTGGGGTGAAGAAAAGTGAGAAGGCCCAAGGCAGTAAAGAGCTGTCAGAACACTGATGTATGATGGTGGCAGTTTTGTCGGGGAGCATTACTGATCCTGCGATGAGACGGGGGCCTCCTTGGACAGCCCTCAAGCAGAAGCTACACTGGGGCTTATTCCTCCTTTCTTTCTGTTGCCCTACTCATGGGGCCAAAGAAGGATGTAAGGAGGGGAATTTTCTTCCAGATACCATGTCCCTACGATTCACAACCTGTAGGTGGTATTCCTGCTCTGTCCACCGTGGTGCAGGGCATGCTCGCCTCATTTGTGTGCTTGTTTTAGATAGAAGGCCTATAATATTAACAGTAACCATTAAAGCAGCAGCAATAAGTGGCATTTATTGAGGGCTTACATGTGCCAAGCACTTCACAGGTAGTAATTCATTTAACACTCTAAGTTATCCTGAGATGGGGAATAACATAAACCTCATAAACCTGAGGGAAAGGGAATGGAGTAACTTGCCCAGTTCATACAGCTTGTAAGTATTTAAAATTGGCAATATGATGCAGAAGCCTCATGTTCTTATAATTAATGTACTATACTGCCTCTCTTCTCAAGGAGCAGTCTGCAAAGATAAAATAAATTCCAGGCATATGCTTTCATTTTATATAGGTAGCTTGAACCTCACTTAAAGTATTACAAGTGTTTCCCAAATCCCATGTTTTCATTACCTTCATCATTACTATGAATTATTCTAGCTCTATCTTGAGAATAATTAATTCTTTATTGTTAAGATCATCTTTTCTTTCCCTCAACCTCTATCTCTGTTTAAGCTTATTTTCAGTCCTGTAGGCTCTTAGCTAATATGTTAATCATATTCTTCTACCTTCATCATTACTATGAATTATTCTAGCTCTATCTTGAGAATAATTAATTCTTTATTGTAAAGATCATCTTTTCTTTCCCTCAACCTCTATCTCTGTTTAAGCTTATTTTCAGTCCTGTAGGCTCTTAGCTAATATGTTAATCATATTCTTCCTACATTCTAGTTCTCCTCAGCTTCAGCTGAAATATAATCTCCACAAAATTCCTTCAGTCTTCCAACAATCTGTCTCTTCTCTCTGTTTATCCCACAGATTTAAGATTCATTGTTCCAAAAATTAGTAAATTTTGAGAATGAAATACCAGGCACTTGACCAAGTTCACTTTACCAGGTAATCCAGGCAGTTAGTAGTACTTCTGTAATTAGCATTTGTCACTCTGATAAACAATGGACAATAGATTTTGTGATACTGATAATTGGGCACATTTTTCTGTTCACAAGTTTTCCTTGGCTTTATGAGTAATTCCTTAGTTTACTGGAAACCATTTACATAAACTAACTAAATCAAGTAAAGTTTCAGAGATTACATATAAAAATAAGGAGATAAACAAATTTTATTACACAAAAACAGCAAGCTACTCCATATACTCCCCAAAACAAAAACAAACCAAAACATCTTTACTCAATGAAGAAATGACTATTTATTTATTTATTTAATTTTTAGGTACATTTAAGTCAAATCTAAAAGTTCTAAGAGAATACAATGTCTCCTAAATTTGACCTATATAGGAGAAAAGATAAATTAGGAAATTAAAAATTATCTTTATTTTATTTCGTTTATATTTCCAGTCAACATATAATTTATTTCATAAAATCCATTCACTAACTAACCTCACTTGATAGGTTTTCCTTATTCACCTCTGTGTGCTACAGGGCCTGGAAAAAATAACCGAAATGCAACATAGCCAGACGTGGAAAACATCCTTACCTTTAAAGAAGACAAAATTCCCGTCACTGTTTTCATAAACCGCGTCGATACTAGGAGGCAAGCCCCGCCAGAAGTAAGTAATTTGCATGGGGTATCCATCCATCACCCTGTTGTTTCTCACTCGCCAAAACCACTGGTCCTGCAAACCAAGCAGAGGCATCTCTCAGCAATCAGGCCTCCGCAGCATCTCACTGCCTGATGGCTGGACACTTCAAACTGAGCTAGTCTCACCACCATCATCTTACATCAAAACAGTCAGAGAAAGAGCGAAACAACTTGACCACAATGATCACAAAAGTTTCTATAGCGGGCCGGCCCGGTGGCGCACTGGTGAGTGCGCAGCTTGGGAGTGCTGTGGCGCTCCCGCCGAGGGTTCAGATCCCATGTGGAGACCGTTCCCGCTCACTGG